CCAACCCTAATTCAACTCTCACCCTGACCCTAATGACAATTAACTTTAGCGATTGTTTTGATTCCATAACACGATCTGGTTGGTCAATTGCAATCCGGTGACTGTCACCGCCGGCGACAACTAGATTATTTCAAAAAACAAATCTATAAAGTTCGATAAATACATTAAATAATAAATTACTATGTCTTTTATAAAGTCTTACATAATATCAAAGTCTAATCTGAAGCTTAAAAAATATATACTGTATATAAAAATTAAAAATCAGGAATCGAAAATCGATTTCTCTTTTTTTTATAATCTGCAAAATTTGCAACCCGCAATAAAATGTAAAATTCAAATATATTAACAAAAAAATTACCTTTCAATAATTGCGTTTGTCTCATATTCTGTTTTATTAATAGCTGTTCGATACGTAAGTATCGAGGCAACTTTTGTCTCGAATCATGTGCCATCCGATCGAACATGTTGTGACAGGCCCGGTTACGATCACATGTTCGATCGATCGGTTGACTGATAGAACGTAAGTATGAGGTAATCAGGTAATTAGTAATGCGAACATTGATGAAAGTATGGTTAGAGTGATTAGTCTTAGTGAAGTAACCGATTAATTATGAGGTAATTGGATCGTAGTATATTTAGTGAGTGGGAAAATAATGGAATTAACTTTGTCTTTTCTGCGAACCCGACTTTCGTTCTGGTTATATCGATCCCTCCCACACTACCCGCGTTAGAGCGACGCATAATTTTTGTGGCCTGCCGGGACGGCAGTCATAAATAAGAGTAGGTGGTGGGATCCGTTAGGATTGTATGCTGAAAAACGTTAAATGTGGCCTGATGAGACGGGTTCGATTAAAGCAAGGTGCGTTTGGTATAAATTTATACTGCATAAATTATCTTCTTCTAACCATTACTGCATCAAAAAGTAATTCTAACGCGCCTTGCTTTAAACGGCCCCACTCTCCGGAATTTGATTAATTTAATTGGTTGATGATCATGTTTGATCTACATAAAAAACACGTTTTTTTTCGCAACCCCTAATACAATCGGCCAATAGGATGCATTGTTTATCTGATTGATAAACATAACGTTAATATACAATATATAGCCTAATTTTTGATCTTTATTTTTTTTTTTTCTATCTTTTGTTTATTATTTTTTCATTGTACCAAGCATCTTTATATAGGTTTGGAGAAGTTAGATTGCTTCGATGGTTTCAGTCTGACTGGGTGAATTATTGATCGGTTGTCCTATGTGATTTCACATTCAACTTCTTGTTTGTTAAGTATCTTCTTTTACTTTACAAAATATTCTTAAAGATCATTTTCTTTTTATATACCTGTTCTTAAACTTTGCACTAAGGTTTGTCGATGATATACACTTTTAACACAGATAGGGCCTCTAAATTTAGTAGTTTAAACTAAGCTCTAAGCTTCTTTATTATGTTCACACATAAAATTTCTTGAGGAAGTTTTTGAGAAGTTACAAATCTTGCAGATTTTTCACTTTTTTATACAACCTGTTTTTGTTTAAAAACTAGTAGGATTATATCATAAGAAATATAATATGAAAGGTTTGTAATATTGCCAAGTCTCATAGATTGTTTATTATTGGATCCAACAATCTAAGAGATGATAACAGTATATTTTATACTGAGTATTAGTAAGATGTGAAAAGTTTTGTAGTATAGATAAGTTTCATGGATCGTTTTTAAATAGGTCTAATGATCTAAAGAGATGATGACAACACATTTCACACTAGTAGCAATTTACGAGATAACTTTCTTTGTTTACTATTGATTCATTTAAAGGCCATAAAAATAAAATCACTTTATTGATAACTGGTACATTATTGATATTGTATTTTATCATTTTGAGATAAATAAACTAAAAATAACCAAATACATATTCTTAAAATCGGTTATTCATTAATTCCTTTCTTTATAAATTTAGAATTTTTTTATTACTAAAACTCCTTTTGGGCCACAAATGCAAACCTCCTCGTGGTGTGGCTGGACATTGAACGACTGTTCAATGACTAACTTGCATTATATTATTATCCAGCATGTTGTTGATAAAAAAAAGAATAACTACGATTAACAAGAGGAAATTCTTTACACCGATTAGTTTTGTTTATTTGTATGTGTTTTTTCCTTTTCTTTACTAACTAGTTTTTTTTATAGCGAAATATTTGTTTTTTTGGCCGTTGTCATTTGTTAGCATAGATTTGTCAAATCGTCCTTTACTGAAATCGATGTAGTTTGTAATATTCGTTTCGTTGATTTAATTATTTTTCGATATTGTGGATTTTGTTACAAATTTTTTTGATAGCAAATTCGGCTCTACTAAATGTTTTAGAAGCTGTAAAAGATAAGTATATTTATTTTATTGTTAATTATTTTGCCTTTATATATTTTACAATGCTAACTAATTTATCCGTTATAGATAAGGCTTACTTTGATTTTTTTTTTCAGGTCTTGATTCAACATTTGGTCGTATGCGCTGGCTTGCCAATTGTTCGAGTTTAGAGGCAAAGTTATGCATGTTTCGGATACGATTTTGGATGCGTCGATCGGATTTATGGTCACAATCGTCGATTATACTATGCTGGGTCGCGTCCTTCGTTGGCTTTTGACTAAAAACAAATAGTCTCATTGTTGAAAATGGGATCGTTGTCAGGGCACAAAATTTCCGGGTGATGTAACCTGCTTTTTTTTCGGTAAACGAAATTTAGAAACTCCTGCAATATATTTAGTATTATAAAATTTCCGGCCGCTTTAAAACTACGCCGGAAGTCAACTTAACTAAACGAACCTCCGGTATTTTACAATAGAATTTTGTGCCCTGATCGTTGTGTATTAGAGTTAGTTAAGTTTTAGTTTAATGCTAGGGTTAGCGTTAGAATAAGAGGTTAGAAAAGGGTTATAGATTACATTTGTTATGTAATACTGCCGTAATGTTTTAAATAATAAAAATATTTTATTGGATTGAAAAGTATATATGTTTGAATTTTGCTTTAAAATTGGATACTTTTAAATTATAGAATTTGATTCTTTAGAGGTAATAAAATATTTCGACTTATGCGATTTAAGGATTTTTCATTGTTTAAACAATGAAAAATCCTTGAAATCGTATAAGTTTGGATACTCTAGAGTGTAATACAATAATTAATTTTATTACTTATAAAGGTCATTGCATTTGCAATAGTTTGTCAATTTTATTTAATTATGTAATTCAAAATCGGGTTATTCACATCAATAATTTGTAATTATCGATATCCGTTTAAGTATTCGGATCCAATCACTACCGTATGACTTACAACTAGTAAATGGCATCTCGCCATGGGCGCGGCTATAATGATTTGTTCAATGTCTGGGATATTATGATAAGAGGGGAATTATCTTTAGTATTCTTATGTGCCCCTACCTCGCGTATAAGTGTCGTGACCAACCTTACTCAAGTTACGAACTAGGTTTAAACGTCTGCGGTTATACTCAGTGTTTGAAATTTCAGACTCAAATACTGTCCTCATGAAAACAATATAATAATGATTGGTGTTCTCACACTGTTGTTTTATGTTCACAG